CCTCATGTTTTGACATTTAGGTACTTTCCGGTTATTTTGCAGTTACATTACAAATGATGTTGCAGTGAATAACTTTGTGCATATATATTTTCATATTTTTTGGAAGTGTATCTACAAATATCTGGAATAGGCAAGTGTGTAGAGACCAAAGTTTATTAGTGGTTTCTAGGGCAGGTTGGATGGAGGGGAAAAGCAGAAGACTCATTGCTTAGCGGACACTGAGCTTCTGTTAAGGGTTATGTGAAAATTTGGAAACAGATAATGCTTGACAGTTGAGCAGAATGATTAACATAATTAATGTCACTGGATTTTACATGTGAAGACTGTTGAAATGGCAAATGCTTTGTTAAATATGTATTTACCACAATTTTAAAACAGGTAAAAAATTCCTTCCTTCTTGAAGCATTTCTGGAAGTTTATCACTGTTTATTAAAATATAAATCCTTAGGGAGAAGTTGTAGCTTATTCTGTATTAACTGTTTTTGTGAGATGAATATGTTATTGCCTACCACAGTGTTTGACATTACATTCCATAAATCAGAGTTCTCCTTTCTTTCTTGGATAGGAAAGTTGGTTGACATCTGTAGAATGTAACCCAGGCTGCTTTTCTGTGGTTTGGGGATTCAGGCTGGGTTATGGCTGTATGGGGGTGCGTTGTAGGGAGAACGGCCCAAAGACAACTTTCTTCCTTTGCTGTTTTACCAAGATCTGAAGATAGAAGATGCTAAAATATAAGTATTTTGTTACAGTTAGAAGATTTAGAGGCAGACCAAAGAATAAGCTTCAAATCACGTCAAGAATCTGTGCAAAAGCAATTTAGATTTGAAGTGATTGGGTTTCTTCTTTAGTCCTTAAGGGAGTTGTTTAGTTTCTCTTAAGGTGATTGTAGAGATGTCAAAAGTATCTGACTTATCACAATGTATCTGCTTTCCATTAACAGTAACATTAAAGGGTGTTTGTAATAACTTCCGTGTGAGTTAGTTCACTGTCTCTAGGTTTACTAGGCAGTATTTCTTGCACACATTTCGGTGCCTTTTTATTATTCAGATATGTATCCATATGTTATTCTACCAGCACATGCTCCATAAAATGTTGTTTCCAGACTGAACTTCTTTTTCTCTGCTACATTGGCATGATTTCTGGACAGTGAGTCCAGACCCTGGAATAAGGTAATAAGGCCACTGGAGAGTGGCAGACTTTCCCATTGTCATTGCATGGTCTACTGGGTCTATAAAGACACAACCAATTTCCATTCATGCTGGATTTAAAAAAAAGCAAACTGTAAAAATTCTCTTATAATAAGCACCCAAAGGACTGAATGGAAGATGCAGTAATAATGACAAGACTGTCTCACCTCTGAACTGGAAATCTTTTAATAATAGCTGATAATTTTTCTAGACAATAAATTCGTAATTACTTTTTGTATTTACTACTATGTTTTCTTTGTAAAATAGTTTGTAGCTACTTTGGAGAAGTATGAATCCTTTGTAAAATCCTTGTCAGATAGTTTAAAATCCCTTCTGTTATTGTTTCTCAGCTGTTATCCCAGACCTACCTATTAATTCTACCCTACAGCTTCTTTTCTTAACCTTCTCCAACCACACTTGACATCTCAGCCAGAAGTCATCTGTTTAAAACCTCCCAATGGATTACTGATGCCTCCTGATTAAAGCAGAATTTTATGAGTATGAGAGGCTGCTCCCCATCCTACCCGGCTTCTGACTCCCCAGCAAAACCCGGCCCTGCTCATTTCTTCAGGCTACTCATAAACTCTCCCCCAAATTTGAATGCTGTGTTTGTCCTGCAAGGTGCCAAGCTAGTTCCTGCCTTTGTATCTTTGCGCGTGTTGCTCTATTTCTGGAATATATTTTCCTCTCCTGAGTCTGCCTGTTGCCTACTTATTTTTATTTATTTTACTATGATATTTTAGATTTTCACATGGGAATAGACAATACAATAAATAACTTTGTATACACACAGCTCATTCAAACTGTTAACATTTTGCTATATTTTATTCTGAAATTTTAAAAAGAAATAAAGTATTTCAAATGGAGCTGATGTCTTTCACGTATCCCTCTCTGATCTTGTTCCCCTGCCTGAGGTAACCACTATCGTGAATTTGTATTTACTATTCTATAACATGCTTTTGTATTTTTACTACATATGGAGCCCTGGTGGCACAGTGGTTAAGAGCTTGGCTGCTAACTGAAAGGTCGGCAGTTTGAATCCACCAGCTGCTCCTTGGAAATCCTATGTGGCAGTTCTACTCTGTCCTATAGGGTCACTATGAGTCAGAATTGACTCAACAACAACAGGTTTTTTTTTGGTGTGCATGTATTAATAAATAATATATAGTATTTGTTTGCAGGTTTAAAAATCTAACAAGTGGCGTCATACTGTATACCTTTTTTTTTCTTGTTTTATTGCACTGGCAAAAAACGAAACCAAAAAAACCCATTGCTGTCGAGTCGATTGTGACTCATAGAGACTCTCTCTATAGGACAGAGTAGAACTGCCTTACAGGGCTTCCAAGGAGTGGCTGGTGGATTTGAATTCTTTTTTGGTTAAGAGCTGGGCTCTTAGCCATGGCACCACCAGGGCTCCATTGCACTGGCTAGGGCCTCTAATATTACTTAAGTATTGCCCTAGATTTGTCTCTCATATATGAAGCTTTCGTTCGTTCAGTTTTCCCTTCTTACTCCCACTTCCAGAAAAAGCTATTATTCTTTATTTTTGTGCTCATTAGATCTAGTATACAATTCTATTGCAGTACCTTTTACTTTCATTGTATTTGTTGATAATTCTCTGTTCCTGACTAGACTATAAATTGAGGAAGGGAACCGTGTCTTTCATTGTTGTTATGTGTTGTCTAGTTGATTTTTGACTCATAGAACTCCATGTGACAGTAGAATTTCCCCATAGGGTTTTCTAGGCTGTAATTTTTACAGGAAAGAGCACTGGTGGCACAGTGGTTAAGCGCTCAGCTGCTAAACAAAAGGTTGGTGGTTTGAACTCATCCAGCGGCTCTGTGGGCTAAAGGCCTGGCAGTCTGCTTCCATAAACATTACAGCCAAGAAAACACTATGAGGCAGTTCTATTCTGTCACATGGGGTCACTATGAATCAGAATTGACTCGACAGCACACAACAACAACAACCATCTTTATAGAAACGGATTGCCAGTTCTTTCTCCTGCAAAGCCTCTGGGTGGGTTTGAACCAGGCAACCTTTTGGTTAGCAGTTGAACACTTAACTGTTGAACGACCAGGGCTCCTTATAATATGCTAAATACAGTATCTGAGCAGAGTAGTAGATACTGAATAAATGTTTGTAAAAGCATGTTTATTGTTGAATGAGGCATTTACCACAGTTATAAATTTGTGTAATTATTTGACGAACATCTTCCTCCATAAAACTGTGAACTTTCTTCAGGCAGAGATTGCATTTCCTTTTGCACCACTGCATTCCCAGTTCCCATTGCGTGGCTGGCATGTGGTATTCCTTAACAGATGTTTGATGAACGAATGCTTAATGAAAGGATTGAAGCAGGAGAAATCCTCTGAAAGAAAAGTTACTTCTTTCACACTTAAGTGTTTAAAAAGGCACTCCCCTTTTGATGTCTCAATCATCATTTTATCCTTAACACTTAGCACAGCGCCTTTCACATAGCAAGCACTCAACGAATATTTGCTGAATGAATGCATGAGTGTTTATTATGAGTCAAGCATTGTGTCAGACCTTTATCGTTTTCAGAATTCTCTATTGACTTTTCTCAGTGTGATTACAGAGTCAGCAAGTAGAAGAAGGTGAGTAAGAAAAAAATGGCTAAATTGGAAGTGTGGCTTCATAAATGGTATTATCAAGGATGAGGCAAAAAAAAAAGGTAAATGTATTTGACATTGTCCTTTCCAAACCTGACCAGGCCTACAAACCCTACCTAAAATTTAATTACAAATGAATAAAGACAAATGAACTTCAAATGGCTTTTGGACAATATTTATTTAAGCATGGGCTTTTAGCTTGGTTCACCCTAGAGTGCAACCTTTTAGTTATGTTAATAGTTCAGGGTTATAGGGCCATTATAATGTTGCTGGTGTTGGTACAACTTCTTCAGAAGGTATGAACATGACCCGCAGGAAAAAACAATCCAGGAAGAGAACACAATGAAAACATCCACTGTTTACAAATCACTCTGTTACCACAGAACAAAATGGCAGTTACTGTTAGTAAATCAGCCACAGAACACTTTAAAAAAAAAATCCTTAGACAAGGAGATGGGAACTCCTTTTCAGGGATAAGGGTCTTCATTCACAATTTTTAAGCAGAAAATATTTCAAGGTCAAGCATTTTTCTTATCCACAAAACAACGCGAAACCAACATACATTTTAAGGAGTATATTAAAGGAATACAATATCTTTACAACTATCTTGTTGAGTAGGTATTTCAAATAACTTTCTGCAGAGTATAAGTAGCCCAAAATTCAGCAGCAAAATATTGCAACATAACAAGGAAATACAGTGTCAATGTGTTATATTATGGAATACACAAAGGACAAACGATGATAATTTAATCATATAAAACATGATACATAGCTGAAATACAGTCCACTTAAATAGCTTTGTGACCAAGAATGTTAAATACTGTACTAAATGCCATTTAAAACAAAATATCTTAAATTTTTGTGCTTAAACTTCTTTTTTTTTCTGTTAATCTATTTCTTATTTTCAATACTGCCACTGTAACTGATATTACAACAGATCACAATTTTCACGGGCACAGCAACATTAAGACATTTACTTATGAGAAAATAAGTCACTTGTCATTATTAGTTCACAGTGTGGGAAAGTGGTTTACACTCTGTCTTGAGAAGGGCTTTCAGTTAATCACCAAGTCCTTCAGAGAAATTTCCTGATACCAGATGCAGTGCGAGATTTAAAAAAAAAAATAAAAAGGAAAGCAACACATCACATGTTGAAAGGAAAAATAAACTTTTTGATTCTTCATGGGTATCGTCTAAGAGACCTTCGTCTTCTGTTGTAGAAGTGCCTGAGCCCATGTTGTCGTGAAAAATTCATCATGTAATTTTGTTTGCGAGTGCTGTTAAAACCAAAGAAGGCAGAGAGGCAGGGGGGGAAAGAAGAAAGACCATGTAAGTCCCATCAGTGAAAGCACCATCTATTCCAGCTCCTAAGTTACTCTGATGCTTATTTGAAAAATTGCAGGGTGAATGGATCATGCAGACATTACAGGGACAAAGTACCTTAAGTCTGACACCTGTATTCACTGCCTTTGGCCTTAAAAAGATCCCTTTCTTTTCATGAGGGAGCTCTGAACCAAGTAAGACGGTAAATTCTCTTGATTTATAACAAAAAATGGCCTGAAACTATTTTTGGATTTTTAATTTAATTTTATTCTTGAACTCTTCCTGACAACATTTACTTGAAGGGATTTCATGTTAGAGGAAGAGTGTGCTGTACCCTGTTACCTTATTTAAATACATCTTTAAAAAGTAGGAACATAATCTGGTCTTCAGCAAACATTTTCATTTAAAACTTAAATAGTGAAAACAAACAAAAAACTTGTTAGGTAAATCAACTTGACCTTCCTATTTTATACAGTCTTGGGGCAAAATAAGGAAGTTTTTCTCAGAATATTGGATTCCATTGTCTTCCTCAATCAATAAGCAGCTGTGGTCATATTCTGTAAACACAGCCTTATGAAAGAGAGTCTCCACTGAAAAAGAGTCCATAAAATACTAAGAAAGTGTAATTGTATAATTGTATGTATGTGTGTATATATATTCCCCCTCCCCACATACATACACACATTCATACATACATATGGTATTGTGAAACTGATAAAAACACTGAAAATAGATTTCAAGAGCTGTAGGAAATTGCACAATGCTGGTAATGATAGTTGCTAAAGTTTCAGTATGGAAAATAAACAGGGTCATTACTTATAACATCATTGAAAAGAAATATACCCCTCTCACACACAGACCTGAGTGATAACATATCTATTTGTGGCAACAGTATGCGTCTTGTGAGTGTGAGCTTATCAATATGCTCCATATTCATCGAGTCTCTTGAATACTGTGATAGACACAAAGTCTTTTCCTACTTAATTTCATGGAATCATAAAATGCATCTAGAGTGAGATAATATCATGTGATGTGATCCCACCATAAAGATCAATATGACATGAGCTTGAGTTAGGATAAAGAGGAGGGAAAGAGCAATTTTGTACTGAGCAGCATACTCTTCTGGGTTATCAATGATTGTTAATTTACCAGGCAAGGTGTAAAATTATACTTTTAACCTAGTATATCATACTAATTAAACATAAAGGGGTACTTGTAAAATACAGAAAACTTCAAAACAAGAGGATTTTATAATTAAGTTGGATCATTAGAAAATTTTTAATAAAATGTCCTAAAGGAAGATAATGTAAACTGAATTTCATCAGATAGGTTTAATCAAAAAGCAGTAGCATCTGTGCTGAAAAGCTGGTAAAAGGATAGACATCAAAGTGACATCTATTTTATAAAATAAAGTGCTGATTACTTTCCATCCTGGGTTTCTATACTGTCAAAATGCTAGAAACTATAGAATATAATCTGAAGATATTGTAGAGAAAAAGAGTAAAAAAAAAAAAAAAATCAAGTTTTGTTCAAGCAGCTGTACTACTTCCCCTGCTCCCCTCCACCAATGTGGCAATATTATATGTATTAACTAATTGGATCAGTTTCAATTTCATAGTTGAAGAATGAAACTAATTTATTTACTACAGGCAGTCCCTGGATTACAAATGAGTTTCGTTTCCAAATCTGTCTTTAAATCAAATATGTACGTAAGTCAGAACAGTTAGATACAGTTCATACCTAAGGTCAGTTAGTCAAATGTTTGTCTTTGTTGTAATAGGTGCCATCGAGTTGATTCCGACTCATAGTGACCCTATGTACAACAGAACAAAACACTACGCCATACAGTGTACCTTTCTGTGCATAAAAAACATTAAAGAAACACCTCCAGATACACTAAAACATTCTGAACATAATAATACAGTAGTAACAGCAATAATGTTTTGATGCGCGTCGCAAAGTAGCGCCTGTTGGTATTACGAACCGTTGCACATACCTCAAATTCTTAATATAATAGGCTTTATAGGGGTTGTACGTTAAGTTGGATGTTCATAACCCAGGGACTGCCTGTATTTATTAGCTGCTACAAGTACTTACTGCTGCTGACTATGTAAAGCCAAATTTTTTAAAAAAGGACAATGACTTCATGTATTGAGTTGGAATCGACTCAAGGGCAACGGATTTTTTTTTTTTTTTTTTTTTTAAGGAGAAAGGACTCTATTGCTTCTTTCTTCACAAGCGAGCCCTGGTGGTGCAGTGGTTAAGCACTTGGCTGCTAACTGAGAGGCTGGTGGCTTGAACCCACCAGCCTCTCTGCAGGAGAAAGATGTGGCAGTCTGCTCCCGTAAAGATTACAGCCTTGGAAACCCTATGGGATAGTTCTACTCTGTCCTATAGGGTCGCTATGAGTCAGAATCTACTCGATGGCAATGGGGTAGCACAGAGTCAGTTAAGATCAGCCTGCCAGCACAGAGGTCTCTTATGAAAGAGGCTCCACTGAAAAGAGACCATGAAATACTAAGAAAGTATAACTGCATGTATAATTGTATTATACATGCATGTATATTCCCATGCATACACACAATTGATTCTGCACACCAGTTTCAGATAACTTTTCCTCAAATACTGGCTTTACCTTGCTCAAAAAACATTCATAATCCTCTTGTCTTTGGAGCAACATCTAAAGCAATTTAGCCAGATATTTCAAGTCCTCTACACATTTAGTCTCATCCTGTTTTTCATGTCTTTTCTTCTACTACACTCCTATACAGGCTACTTTATTCACATTTACCTTGAGCCTTTTCTACCTGCCTCATCTACCTGTCTCATTGGCTCACCTCCACAGTCACTTCCTCAATTTCTATTTATTGTTCAATTATCACATTTTTTTTTTTTTAATTGCTCATCTCCTCTAGAAGTGCTCTGGACTCCCATAACGCTCATTTTCTGTTTTGCATGTTTGTGTTCATATCTTGCCTCCCCACAACTAAACTTTCCTTGCTGTAGGGGCCTGTCCCCCAACTTCCCCCACCCCCCACACCACAACACTGAGCCTCCTGCCTGACCTGTGGGTGGTCAGGGCATGTTTGTTGAACTTTTGGTGACTTACTGATTGGATTCCTGTTGTAAGTCATTAGTCTTTAACTATAAGGAATAATTGCAAAGTTAAAGCAATAAAAATTATCCTGTTGAAAACACGTTTAAAAATATAAGGTACTCAGAGAATTTAAAATAGGTAAAATATTTTACATTGAATAAAAATATAAACTCAGAACACTCAAGACATTCAGTTATCTCAATGTAACTGATACTGATGTGGCTGTTACCTCAATATACAGGAACAAAGGAACATTTAATTTTAACAGAAGTTGACATGCATATTTAATAGTTTTGAAGAAATTTCTCCACGTAATTATTTACTTATTATAGAACCAATTTAAATTATCCATTTCTATATGTGAGAAAATAAATATTAGCAGGTTGCAGCTCCTTAATACCTTGACGATCAAGCCAATAGTGGGAGCTTACATTCCAATTTAGGGGGCAATGTGATTTACCAGGTACTCTTTTGTTTTGAGTAAATATATGTATCAGGATATCCCTGGATTGCTGAGAATGTTCTGTAATGCCTTTACTAGACTTGCTTAGTGTTTATATAATCAATTATCAAATGGCCACATTTTCAAAGCATCCTTGAAACTAACTGGTAATTTGGTATGTGAAACATAAATATCAATCTCTGGAGTCAGTAAGGTCAAAATCTAATAGAGCAGATTTTTCCAGGGCATAAGCTTTTTACATCAAGCACCATGGGAAGCTATGCCAAAATACTGTCTGTCTCCAGTACCATTTAATAAACTGACATGGTGATTAAATAGTATTGTGACTTCTAAAATGTCTAACTTACAGGGTTGGGCATTAGGGAAATTTTAACAAGTTTAAAGATCTTATGTTTGCTTTTTTTGTGGAGCAGATCTGTGAGCCTATTTTTGTTCTTGATATTTGTACATTTATATCTATAAATAACTTATAACCGATATAATAATAGATGCAATGGAATTTTAAAGATTTATTTCTTGACTGCAATTACAGGGGAAAGCAATTTTTATTATAAGTTCAATGAAGATAGTTAATATTCATTTCAAGGTACATCAACTATGCGACTTAACATTATCATTTTGCTTTGGCCATGGGTAGAGCTGGGTCTATTTTTAACTTCTCTCATTGTGAGTAAGAAATTGAAAGAAGAGAGAATGAACATCAATGGCTTCTTAGAAATGCTGATTTAAATTTCTATTATTGCTGAGGAAGTTTAGGGACTTCAATGGCATATGGAATTATAACAATGCTTCCCTGTTTCTGCATAGGGAATATGAATATTGTAAGATCTTTGAAGAACTAGTGACTCTGCTGTTTTGAACTGTTACTCTTCACTGAAGCCACTATCTTAGCTTGCTTATTTATTGATAGATAGTAACCAAATAACAGGTAATTATAAATTGTAAGATGTTTAAACAGAAATGCTTAGCTTATTATGAAAAACATTCAATTGAATTTGATGGAATTCTAAACGAAATGGGGAAGATAGAAAATTGGTAAAAGTAATTTGACCACATAGAAATTTAGGCATTTTTATTGATCAGTAATCGATTTATCATCAAAATGTATGGTATAACACATGAAAATTTCTATGAATGTAGAAATAAGGATCCACTGCACTGCTAGAAATCATAGCTATTAGAGAAATATTTGTGAATGTAAAATGGGAAACTGCCATTCAAACTAATCAATAAAATTTCCCTGCATAAAGAATGCTGTGCATTTTACTTTCAAGGTCCTGGATTTTCAGGAAGGCTACATATAAATAAGTGTAAGGCACATATATCTCACAAATACTGCATATTTCATATTTCTTTCTTTGCTAAATGGGGGTGATGATAGTATCTTATAATGTCTACCCCAGGAAGTTGTAAGGATCAAATGAAAACTTCTAGCACAATATCTAGTTGTTCAATAAATGATAACCATTTTACCTTCTTTTTTAAGTTTTAACGTATTTCAATTAGAGGACAAATGCACGTACATATTAAGAGTGGCAAATCTTACCTAAGGGAAGGATCTAAAACTCACAAGTGTCATGAATAAATCCACCTCCCTCTGTCACTTCATTAATTAACTTAGCATAGAGTTGATAAGTCAAGGCACCCTCACACATTTCCAGCACTGTAGGTCTTTTGAAAGACATTACATTTAATCAGAGCCCCTAGCTCTTTTGCATCTATTTCTACTTTCAGTTTTCCCTCATAACAAATTCATAAACTGTGAGTGCATCAAGGGCACCCAGTACAGTGCCGGGGCAGAGAAGGAGCTTAATCGAATTTGTTGCTCAATGAAGGGATACAGGTTAGCACCCTGTTCTATGCTGTTGTGCCTAAAATTGTATAAATCAGGGAATTATCGCAATTTGGCTGAACTCCGAGTTTACAGGGATATAGGTTTCAAATGTTCCAGTGTATTCCAACCCCATTTGTAACTTTTTTTCATATATTTTTCTTTTGGTCTTCTGCAAAACTTCTCAGCTAACTGCGGTGATGCTGATGAAACTATTAGTTAACAGTTGCCCAGACTTAGCAAGAGGACTTACCTTACTCTAGTAGAAAACCAATGACAGCAAATAATGAAATATAACACAAGTTAAAAAATGCCTTTCAATGCATGCAGCACTCTGATTAGTCATAAAAGTCTGATCTGGTTTAGATGCAATATAGGATTTTTCATCTCTTTTGAAAATAAAAATTAAAGAAGTTATTACTTATTCTTCTGTACCCAATATATACATATATTTTACTTTTCTATGTAATGCAACATGCAATATTTGCTCATAACCGTATGTCAAGGTACATGTAGCTATAGTACTACATTTGGCATAAATGTTGTATATTAAGTACAAATATTAAAGCAATAGTTTAATATTTAATATTAATATTTAATATCAATAACCATTATTATTAATTTTAATAACTGATTCGTCATTTTACATTTTAGGAAATACTTATTCCTGAATATATTACGGAACAGGCTTTTAAAAGTACAAAAATCCTCCATATCAGATAAAACAGTCAAATTTAATAAAGGATAAATATGCTTTGCAACAAATGTAATATGCTGGTTTCCATACATCATTTGTGCCAAAAATGTGACAGTATCTTGATAATGAATAGCATGAGGGGATGGTCATGATGGAACTCATATTATTAAAATCTAATAAGTGCTTTTAAGACCATAGTTAGCGATATAGTGGTTTTTAATTCTCAGTAAAAGTGGCAGTAATTCACTTTTTAATAAATCAATTTACAAAGGCTAACTCTTTACTGAGCAATTTGTTTTCAAGTTACACATGCAAAAATTGGCCCACTTCATTATACTCATGACAGGTGTGACTTAGACACACACACAGGAAATGTGATGTGTGAATGAAATGCGTAGTTGGGTGAGGAAGATTCTTAGGATAGAAGTATGAATGCCCAACAAAAAAGGTTAAGACCAAGTATTCTCTTTTATCCTAAGAAGAACCCCACCAGCATGGATCTTGTGAGGGATCTGCCCAAATGTATTCATAAACATTTACTGAAAAACAAATATTCTACACTAGCAAATGGATTCAGAGAGATTAGATTCCTGACACTCAATTGTCAATGACTGTGTTATGCTACATCATTCAGACTTTACAGAATGAGGACTTTTTGTAAGCTAGTGAGGCTGGAAAAAAATGATCTGTCAATTCGGTTTATCTGGTATATGGTGGATTAGCAGGAACTAATCATCATGAAGTGCATTTAACGTGCAGGTTTTATTGAAGAACATCATCAGCGTGGTAAGATTATACTCTCAAACAAGCATAAGGCATAAGTGACTTTGCTTGTTAACTTCTAAACAGATGGTTTTTATCTTTATGGTGCGGGCTTGGCTTGTCATTCTTTATATCCATATTTATGAACTTCAAATCCTTCTACATGCAGTATTTTAGAATTAAACTATTAAATCAAAAACTATGTTATTTATCTTGTTCACTTAGGATGCAATCTTAAACCTGGAAATATTTTCGAAAGTACTAAATTTCCTCTCATCAAACTTGTATGTCTTCTTCTTGGTTAATATGGGCAGAACTGAGATTAAACTCAATATAAGATACCATGTGTGGCCACTATTTTTCTTTCTAGGGGTTTTTAGCATGTGTCCTTGGTGCACATGCTCGAAAGCAAAACTATGGTAATAAAGCTAGGTTAAGGCCAATCTTCACTTAAAAAATAAAATAGATTTCTAAAAATTCTTAAGTGAAATGTATGGCCCAACCACTAGTTGCAAAAACATATTAGTAGTCCTATTTTGCAGCTGTTGAGTTAGGTAGGGCTTGTATCTCATAAGATATGTACCTCAATCTGCTCCTCTCCCCTCCACATCAAGGAGTTAATACTACCAGATTACATAACTAAATGTTCTTATGTAAAAGTATAGTATAGTTAAGTAAGAGGATATTTTCAATTCATAGGGCTTTATGGGAGTATTCCACCGATTTCTAAATATACATCTGCTGTAACAAAGTTACAGTTAGTAATATTTGTAAATCATACCATGAACATTGGCTAGCTTCCTTGTGCCTCACTTGGTTGAAAGATCCTCTGAAGATCATAATGTTTTATTTTTTCTGAACTATCTGGCATTTTCTATTTATTTTAAGCAAATCAAATGAAAGAACTGAAGTAATTAATTTCTAGGGCAATCCAGTATATGTTAATTAATGAATGTTGTAAAACTTTGTGTGACTCTTATAAAAAGAAGTACTTTGAAAAGGCAGAGTGGCATAGAAATGTTAAATCCTCAGATAAGAGCAAAACATCAAAAACATAGTTCTGAAAAATATAATTTCTTAGTATTTTATTTTTTAAAAAACTCATTTATTGAATTCAGCTTCATGAGGTATTTCTTCTCTCCAAAAAGAGAAGGAAAAGAAAAAAAAAGTAATTCCTTTAATTTTAACAAATTTTGAAATGTCATTAAAGAGATAGCATTTGTTTTTAAAATTATGTGTAATATATATACATGAGATTATATGGCGATATGTATAAAATTATAATTTTTAAACTATTCACTGAAAGAAGATGTTGACTATAACTCAAATCATGTAACACTGCATGTGCAGCAATGCTAACTTCATTCGAACCATTTTAATGCCCTTGAGAGTTTGAGACATTACTGCAGGGTAAGAGCAGACAGGTGCCTGGTAAGTGATAAATTCTTCAAGTTATTAAAATTCTGGAGACTGACTAAAAATGAAATCTTTACAAATACAGATTATAGGTCCAGAAAAATACCAGAAAAACTGCATTTCTGGTATTTCATATAATCTGAACCTGATCCTTGTAATAATATCATGATGCTGGCAGATATCTGAAATTGCTTGGCTGGGTGGGAGGAGAAGTAGTATCTCAAATGCTGATGTGTTAAGAATTACCATCCTGTCTTCATTTGAGAACTGTCAAATTTTGAAGTTCCCATAGGAGCTGGTAATGCTTTGTCAGGCACAGGAAGCCCAGTGGTGGATTATCCAATAGACAAGGTAAGCACAGCACTTAAACCTTGCTTACCAGATCATCTGTAGTGAAATTGATCACTACAGATTAGTAAGTAAGCACGGATCATCTGTCCCTGTCAGGGACTGTAAACTTGAAAGGAGGCTTTGAGTCTGTAGGAAGGTGCTCTGGGGTTGGGAGAGAGACAGATGCCAGCCATACCTAAAAGCAGAATCTTTGATGTGGTGAAAAAAGTATGAGATTGTTCACTACAGATGATCTGGTAAGCAAGGTAAGCACTGTGCTTACCTTGCCTACTGGATAATCTGCCCCTGCGGAAGCCCTATGGATGTACATTTTCTTGGCAAGAGACTTGAGAGATAAGAAGTGGTTACTGACTCAATCAGAGTCTCAACCTGCATATTAGAGTCACCTGAGGTACTTTTTAAAAAGTCTGATGTTCAGGCCCCATCCCAGATCAATTTTAAGTATAATCCTTAGGGAGGGGCCTGTGTATTGGGGTGTGCATTGATGTTTTCATAGCTTCCCAAGTGACTCTGATGTTCAAGCAGATTGAGACGTGCTGCTCTAAAAGGAAATTAGCAAGGGAAAAATGGCTATAATGTTGGTTTTTGGTCTATCTGAACACTTCTCTATGGCCTTACTGTATATTTATTTATTTCAGAGCCCAGGCTATTCTATTCTTCTGGAATAATGTCACCTGAGGTAACTGATAACTAAGTAATACATCAGCCTCATATTTAGATTTAAAGGAGTCTGGACAGTTACTTTCAACTTTAACATTGTCCTGTAGAGGCAGAGCCCAGCAAGTTGTCCAAAAGCAGCAGAGCGCACAGTGGGGACTCGTGTAGGGACCAGTTGCTCTTGGATTTGGGGGTTGATATGGATGCCATGCAAGCAGGTGCCTCAGTGAGAACTAAGACGAGGGCTAACTCAAGACTGAAAAAGTCAGCTCATGGCGATGGTTGGAAGAAAACAAATCTGGTAGTTTTCCTACCAATTAATCATTTAAATTTGCTTTCAAAATGACTGAAATCAGCAAAAAGACTGATTTCATTTTTGCTTTGGTAAACAGAATGAACATTTGAACCTATCTACCGAGAAGATTCGCCTCTCCTTGCCAACCACTTGGAGCCATCAGTCCGAACCCGTCGAGACATAAGCATTCCAGTTCTACAGGAACTAGATTGTTAGAGAAAAAGCAAGTCATCTCTCTGAGAGGGAACAGCCAACCCCATTAGGCGAGAGTAGTGAGAGCCTTATTATACTGTGGGCGGGGGGGGGGGGGGAATAATGGGGGAACATCCTTAACTTGATAGGTACTGGGATTGGCCGGGAGGAATCTGAGACAACATATTCTTTGTTCTAGTTGCAACTGTGTCACCAAATGGAAGGATGCCTCAGCCATCTGTGGCTAAGACAGGTGTTTGTAATCGGCAACACTAGTCAGTAACACTCTGTATGTGGAACAGTACAGATTCTTTCTCTTAAAGGATGTGATTCTATTTTATAAGGCAACCCAGATTTGGCGTAAGACATTGTTTCCCGTTTACCTGAAGACTTTTGTTTTATCCAATTTAACCAATATTGTCAAATCCTTAAATAAATGCTTTGCCTACTGAAGTTTTCTGAGACACATTAAATTCTGTTCGGGGCTTTGTTATTTCACTGTTGACTTGAGCAATAGTTTATAGCTGCTGAAGACCGTCAGCCAAAGTGGTCCTGTGGGGGGCTTCTCATCAGGAACAATTCTTACTGAATTAAGGAGCATGCTGTGTCAAAGGAATTTCAAACCTTTCTGCAATGGACATGGGATGACATGTGTCAGATACTCACAGCACGACCTCCACATGGTCCAAAGCCCACTGATCATGACCTGTTCCATTGTGGCGTGGTTGCCACCAGCGCAGTAACACTCCTTTCATCCGTGCTTCCCTGGGTTACAGATAGAAGGACACAGATATTAAAATTAGGATACAGAGAACTTTCTGGTATATGATTTCCAGACGTATAATAGGCTAATTATAATAGGGTAACCTAAATCAACAAGACTTGCACATGGAATTCAGATTCGTTTAGGTCACAGTAACAGTCTTAACCTTTATTGACCACTCATGGGCCTTGTAATAATTTCACATCTCCCTCCCTCCTTCCCCCTGCTCCATTAGTACTTGGAAGAGCAATACATTCATAGTCGACAAATATCAAGTGCCTCTGTGTAGCAGGCACTGTGCTAGAAGCTGGGGGAATAATGCTAAGCAAAACTGACATAGTTACCTGCCTTCAGCAAATTTTCAAACTAGTGCTGTTGCTGCTCGGTGCTACTGAGTCGATTTCGCCTCTTAGTGACCCCATGTGACAGAGTGGAACTGCCCCCCCATAGGGTTTTCTATGCCATAATCTTTATGGGATCAGATCGCCAGGTCTTTCTCCCACGGAGATGCAGGGTGGATTTAAACTGCCAACCTTTCACTTAGCAGCCAAATGCTTAACCACTGCTCCACCAGGGCTCCTTCAAACTAGTGTACCCAGCAGAAAATATAAAATATTGTTTTTTAAAGACTAGAGATAGGGCTGAGGGAAGGGAAATATGAAAAAAAAGTGCCTTTGCATTTAGTTGTTATCTCTATTTCCTCTTGTTCTTATTCCTTGCTTCAATTTTTGCCTCTTGTCCTAATAGAAAATAGTAATAAAACTTTGGACAACTGGATTCATCTTGGTCCTGCCACCATCTACTTTTGTGGCCTTGTTCCACTAACTTCACTAATTTGGGCCTTTGTGTCCTTCAGGAGTCCCTTGGTGGTGCAAATAATTAAGTGCTCTGCTGCTAACCAAAAGGTTGGTGGTTTGAGCTCACCCAGAGGCGCCTTGGAAGAAAAGCCTGGTGATCTGCTTCTGAAAACTCAGTCATTGAAAACTCACTGGGCGCAGTTCTACTCTGACACACGTGGGGTTGCCATGAGTCGGAATTGACTCGACGGCAACTGATTTGGTTTAGTCTTTCTCTGAGGCCTTTATACTTCCTTCTAGCTCAAACTCTGTGATTGTCAGGGCTCATATGGGAGACCAGGACTTTCCATTCTGGCCACTTACAGGGGGACATTGTAAGACACTCTCTGCGCCTGTGTGAAGTCCTTCGGCTGGTGCTGTGCGATAACATGCCAGGTGATCCCGTTGTTGATGCTGTACTGCAGCAGCACAGCTTTGTCCACGGCGTGGGGGCCACTCAGGTCGCTGTTACAGCTGTCCGTCTGGGATGCGCTCCCAATTTGCAAAACAAACATAATTTTACTGGAAAACACAGGGGAAATAATCTTTAAACAGTAGTCAAGACGTATTACAAGAGGAGTTATACTTAAAAAAATTTTTCTTGTTCCTAAAGTCCTTAATTTGAGTTCATAATATAACAAAAATAGGAGAATCCAGCTTTATGACTAAATCACATTAGTGATATTCTATTATCTTTTAAATTATACATGTGACCAGAACCCAAGAAGGCTGATTTTCTACATGAAGAAAACAATTTTGACTTTCAAAGATGTATACTTTTTCATGGTGTTGGAAATCTTATTAGAGTATTTCATCAAAAATATTTTCTATTCTCTGAAAGGGAGTATAGGCAGCGAAGGACATGGAGAGGACAAGGAATAAAACCACAGTATTTATGCTAATACCTACTTTTGACAAATAGTTCCAAACTGAACAGCTTCTGGACAAGGACAAATCATGTCTATTTTAGGAAAGAGATGTCTGCAGATCAGAGCTGAGGGAAAACGTAGTGAGAGACATGCAGGCGTGGCCCATCCTGCTATTCTGTTCAATATGTCCTTTGCTTTTCACAGGTTTCTTTGCCTCAGAAGATACAGTTTTTGAACACAGGAAATGTATCCTCCTAAGAGTCTCAGTGTTAACAGAGTAGTTCCATTTAGGGTAGGTGTTCAAATAAAGAGCTGGACTTAAAAACTGTGAATGCATAAATGAACTTAAAACAAAGTTACTTGTACACCATGGTGTGCAATTGTTAACTAAACAGCTAATTATATCTGCATAAGGGACCAAGGAAAAACATCAGGTTGTCTTTAAGTTGAGTACACCTTTTTGGCAGGAAAAAAAAAAAATCAAAACAGGGATAGATGGACACAACATCTTTTGACATCTCCACAGTTACCATGTAAGAATTAATTTTATTATATATCATTTGTCATATCAGGGGATGAAAAGCCTGCTTTTCTGCGTCTAAAGATACATTACTAATATTTTCCGAAGTGGAAGGCTTCAAGTGAACCTCTATATTCTCATTAACCAAACACCTAATTCTCAAATACCCTTATAGCTACTCATACCTTTCAGTATTATGTGAATACTCTAGTCCAGTACTTTGTTAACTTTTTTTAAAGCCTTGGAATCTTTTCTTAAATTAAACAGACAAAAGCTATGTTTTTGCTGGCTGAGGCTGTAGAGCTGGGAAGGGAAGGTGGGAAGGAAACTCTACCCTGCTGGGGTCTCTTTTCCTCTGTCGCTTCCCTAGTCCATTTAAAAGGTCGCTGTCACTCTGTTCCGCAACAATCTCCAACTCCTATAGCATGTGAATTCGTAAAATTCTTTTCCATCTATCAATCTGTTCAACGGTCCTCCATCTTCCATTTCTGTATACTTACATATGCTAAATATAGGTCTATGTTTGCATTACTATCAATCTACTTCACATATACATTTACATTTACATGCTTGCATATGGACAACATTATTTATATGGATTTCCCATAGCTAATTTTTTATACTTGGCCATTTCCCCAGACTTATGCCTATGTGACCACCACTCAGCCTGTACATATAAAAAATTACCAAGTAATCGTAAAAGAAATTCAAGCAAAACATAATTCTGAGTTGTGAAACATATTCCTTGTACCCAATTCAAATGATATATAGGTTTCCACTGTTTAGTACCATCTGTGCATAAAGTTAATTATCATAGCTAACAGACAGTTGATAATAACCTGGTTTGTGACTGATTCTATGTCTGGACCAGAAAGCAGGGGTTTTGTTACCTTGCTCGAGTGAGATCCAGAGGTTTGGTAGCAGCTTGCCTTATCTGACAGCCATTAAAATAGAGTGAGTCTCCATGGGCATAGGGTGCCAGCTGCCCACAGCCACTTCCTATCACTCCACCTTGAATGGTCTCCCAGTTTGCCTCAGTGACTCTTGCTGACTCAAAATTATCTTTAATATAGCTGGGAAGATCATGACTGAAAACAGAGCAGTCATCACCTGGAGGGAAAGGAATAATCATAAAAATTAGCTGGAACAAGTGGAATCATCAAAGATTAAGAATTCCACTTCAGATTTAATCCATTGCTCTTACTGTAAGAATGGCAAAACACAAAGCAGGTGTAGACTCCCAGGAATGAATATTTTTCTTTTATTTTGGCAATTATTGGTTTATACTGCTTAAAGAAATCCCATTATCTACGAGTCAATGTTTACTAAAGTATGCATATGCTAATGTACTTATTGCTTGTGTAAATCTGTTGTTTAAATACCACAGCATCTGTCTGGGCCTGCATGTCCATCAATAATGGGTCTCAGTAGGGAGCACTCACCGTGGCATGAAAGGCCAACCTAATTTCTTTTTTCCTAGCATGACTCTGTAGTAGAAAATAAGGTGTGTCATGTTCTTGTCCTCCTTCCAGCTCTACACTTGATGATTCTTGCGAACAGAGTCTGTATCCTATTTATTGTTGGATTCCCAGTGCATAGCACAGTACTTAACACGTATCAGATATTCAGATATTCAGTAATGAGGCTGGGATAAACACATGAAAAATGGATAAACTGGAAGTGTCTCTCAGAGACCACCGAGATGAAATACTGGCATTTGTTAGCAAATGTGTATGTGCTTGCATTTTCTCTTGATTTGAGCAATAATACATCTTTTCTAAATATCTACAATAGCTTAAAATCAAAAGGTCATAGTTCTGTTGGATCAAGGCAGGGGACAAACTCTAAATATCTAGGACTTTTTGGAGACACTTGACTTGTTCATTTGCCTAGAGTTCAAATTTGCCAGCTAATACACAGACAGACCCGGTCAGTCTTAGCAGAAATGAGGATCCAGAGGAGAAAGGAGATGACTTAGCAATTTCTAATATCAGAGATGTGCAGCAGTTGGCAGTGATCATATCAATTTCATTTGGAAGTGAGAAAATAGCATAAACAAATAAATCTAAGTAGATCCTACTCCAGAATTCAAGTATATGGATTTTTACACTGTACAATTTGGAAAGGTTGTATAATTCTGTTATTCTTTAGAGAAACCTCACACCTATGCGAAACAGCAATGCTGACTGGAAATAACAGCTAGAGTACTAGTCTTCTTTCTCACATTTACTAGCTGTGCGACCTTAGGCAAGTCACTTAACTTCTCTGAGTCTCAGTTTCTTCACCTATAAAATGGGAATAATAATATTTACCATAGCTAACTTACGGGGATGTCATAAGTACTAAATGACTCTGATGAATGAATTGATGGAACTATGTAAATCATAAGACAATGCAAGAATTTATTAAAAAAGAATCATTGAGCATTGCTATATGCCAAGTGTTAGGCCCTGAGGATATAATGGTCACTATGTAAAGTCAACTTTGAAATGACAGAGGCAAAAGAAAGCAGGGCTGCAGGCTTCTTACAGGCAGACAGATAAATTTTCTAGGATGTGAGCTGAGTAGGTACCCTGTTCCAAATCTATACTTGGCCTCTAGACGCTCAAGCAGGAAAAATATATTTTTATGAGTCATGAAGGCTTTTTGGTGTGACAGAGTGATGGAACATCTTGAGTTGTCAGCTACATCTTGGGAAGACAGTGACAGCTGCTGTTGAGAGAGGCTGAGGGAGAAGGAATATTGGCAAGGTGTCTAGAGAAGGGCAGATAGGCCAGGAAGGAGAAAGGCCCAGAAATGGAAACAAAGCGTTGGGATGGGGGTGGGTAAGAGACTTATATGGAAGATGGGGAATGTGAAGCACTATAGAATATAGATAAAATCTGTAATTTTAAAAACACTTTCAGGAACATAGTATAAAAATATCCTTGACAATTCGTTCCAATGATAAATAACTCTGTGATCAAGGACTGATTTATCTATCCCAAACCCCTCAGAGGCTGGAGTTTCTATCCATTTGCTGGTAGACTTTGGTATAATGGTTAGAATGAAGAGAACCTCATAGTCTCCTGTATCAAAAGTGAGAGCCCAGGATTCAGACCTTGGAAACTTTCATCACAGATGCAGACGGCGCCGGTGGTGCAGTACCCGTGCCCGCTGCAGAGCTTGGGGCAAGCCTCTCCAATGTACACGTGGTCGATCGCCCAGCTCTGCTTCTCAGTCTCTTCCCCCTTCTGGATCCAGCGGAACTGTGTTGCACTGAAAGTCCCACAGAAAGCAGGAAAGATTCAGCAGGCTGTTATTTCCCAGGACTGTGCCTAGCCTCTAGCCGCTGGAGATGGGATTATTTCTGAGGAAAGGGCTTCCCTAACGTCCCCCTGGATCGCTCTGCTGGCAGAGGAGAGAGAACTCGTACTCTTCAGGCTCTGCAAGATTCCCTGAAAGCTTGTGTCTTTCCTGAAACTTTTATGTAAAGATCCCATTCTATTCCATCATAAAAAAAAAATGTGTCAATTTTCTTAAAAAAGGTGAATACCTTTCCAGATCTTTCGAGTAAAATGAATGCTGATCTAGGAAGACTGCATTCCATCATGTTCATCCTGAGACTTCGTGTAACTGACCAGTCCTGCACACCCCAGAGGGTCCTTGCATCTTGGCTGAGAAGTGTAACCTTTGGGAAGGCAGAACACTGGGGTGGAACTAGTGTGAATTCTAGGTCTTTCTTTGGGGTCTGTGATTCCAGGCCCATGATTGAGTTTGATATGCGCCATGATATTTAGTCAAAAGAAAATCTAGTATCTATGAATCATTTACAAATAATCTCCTAGTTCTTCCTATTTCTTCTTAGGACATGCGATTGTCATTTTGGGGCATGGGTTGGTGAGAAAAGGGAGAGAAAAGGGAAGAGGGTACTAGGGTTGCAGTTAAAACTCTGGCCTCACTTTACCAGTTGTTCCCAGTTCACTGTATGAGCTCTGCAGAGATTGTCAGACACTTCTACAAGATTTACCTTAACCTGAAACCTACCTGGAAGAGACATGGTCCGGCAGCTGGATGGTGATTCTCTTCCAGCTCGAGCTGTTAACAGCGTTGTAGATGGTGGCTTCATGGAACTGGAAGGGGGAGCAGCCAATGCTGTTTGAAGAGGAAGGCAGGCATTGGGTTTGAACGAGCTGCCAGGAATCGGACCTGCAGAAATCAAAGATGTTACATTAGATAAACCTTAAGAGAAATATTTGACTTGCCTAATGTCAAGGTAATTCTTTGGGGTTTGGTTAGATTAAGATATTTAATTAACCAACATATTTGTAATTACAGATCATAAAAAGAAAAATTGAAAATAATTTCACACAAGATATATTCTGATACACACATTAGTAAAAATAGTAACATGCACGGCTGTGCATTCTAGTGGGTTTCTCTTCAACACCCATGGAAGTAGCAGTCAAGAAATCAAAAGACACACTGCATTGGGCAAATCTGCTGCAAAGGACCTCTTTAAAGTGTTGAAAAGCAAAGATGTCACCTTGAAGACTAAGGTGCACCTGACCCAAGCCATGGTGTTTTCAATTGCCTCATATGCATGCGAAAA